TAGTCTTTTGTGTATTTTACATTTGAGGTGAGTCTTTTGTAAACAGCATACATTTGAGTCTAGCTTTTTAATCCAGTCAGTCAATCTGTGTCTTTTGAGTGGGGCATTTAATTCATTTACATTAAGGGATATTACTGAAAGGTGTTGACTTACTTCTGGCATTTTATTGATTTTTGTTTGGATTTTTTTGTTTTTTCTTTTTTATTAGCGTATTCATTGTTACAAATCATACTTATTCTTTATGCCCTTATCCAATCCCACCTTCCCCTCCCCTTCCCCCCCTTCTCCCTCTAATAACCATAGATTTGTTCTCTCCATCTGATAATTAACTGTTCCTCTGTTGGTTTGTTGCCTAGATGATCTGTCCAGACTGAGACAGGTGTGATCAAGTCTTCCATATTATTGTAAAGCAGATGCTTCTTCTGTTACTCCAAAATTTGCTTTGTGGAGAGAGACGACATCGTCTTTATTTTTCTTTTTGTTCCCTTCTGTTACCTCTTCTTGTGTAAATGTAGTTGAGAGTCTGGTGTGCCATCTGCACAGTGGCTGTGACTGCTGCTATAGAGACTAGTTGCTTTTGTGGCAGCCATGACAATTACGGTGGCTGTGGTGGGCTGCCCATGTGGAAATTGTGTTTTCTGTGTGCTTTTTACCTAGTTGCAACTGGGTTTGGCTTCCCCCGGCTCAGTGCCTCTGGTCCCTGGTGGGGCCTTGGGGCAGTGGCAGCAGCTTGCCTACTTGTGGCTGGGTTTGGCTTCCCCAGCTCCATGCCTCATTCTAAGATGTTGTTATGGAGAAGTTGGAAGGGAGGAGGAGAGAGGAAGGGAGAGGGAAATAGGGTGGGAAGAGGAGGAAGGGGGGGTCATGATCAAGGCCCATGGCACACACCTCATTCTGTCAGGGGAGACCAGAGGGCTTCTAGCTTGGTCATTGCTAGGCTGTATACAGCTCTCAGGGTAGTGTGGCTGAAGCCCTCGGCCCTCCACTGCCCTGGTTTGGGGGCCTAGGACTCTTCCTGTGGTGGCTTGGTGATTGTTGCTGGCCTGGTTGCAGATGTCAGGGGGCATGGCTGAGGCCATTGACCCCCCCATTGTCTTGGTTTGGGAGCTTGGGGTGCTACTGGCAATGGCTTGGTGGTTGTCCCTGGCCTGGTTGTGGATGTGGCACGTTATTGATTTTTGTTCAGATGTTTTAAATATCTTTTGTTTCTTTCTTCTCCTTTTATTGTTTGCCTTTTGTGTTGTTTTTTTCAGATGGTCAGATAAGGTTTCTTTCTCTTTCTCTTTCACATTTTTGTTCTGCTGGTGGGTTTTGTTCTTTCTTGTGTATTCATGGTAGTGACTGTTGTTTTTCGCATTCCAGATGCAGTACTTCCTTGAGGATTTCTTGTAGAGCTGTTTTTGTTATGGTGAACTCCTGCAGTTTTCGTTTGTCTGGGAAATATACTAATTCTCCCTTATTTCTAAAGTATAGCCTTGCTGGGTATAGTATTCTTGGCTGGCAATTTTTTCTTTTAGTGTTTTGAATATATTGTCCCATTCTATTTTGGCGTTTAGGGTTTTTGTTGAGAAGTCTGCTGTTATTCTGATGGGGGCTCCCTTATAGGTGACTTGATGCTTTTCTCTTGCTGCTTTTAGGATTCTATGTCTTTGAGCTTTGCCAGTTTGATTATAATGTATTTTGGAGAAGACCTTTTTGGATTGAATCTGTTTAGGGATCTTTGAGCCTCCTGGATCTGAAAGTCTGTATTTTTCCCTGTACCTGGGAGGTTTTCTATTATTATTTCCTTGAGTAGATTTTCAGTGCCTTTAAATTTCTCCTCCCCTTGTGGAACACCTATGATTTGGATATTTGTATGCTTCAGGTTGTCTGCAGCTTGCTCAAATTTTTTTTTTAAACATTCTTCTTTCTTTTTTCCTTTCTTCCCCTGGGTTATTTTGAAAAGACCATCTTCAAGATCAGAAATTCTTTCTTCTGCTTTCTCTAGCCTGCTATTTAAGTTCTCCATTATGTTTTTTATTTCATTGAGTGAATCCTCATATTCAGAAGCAGTGCTACATTCTTTTTTAAGGTATTAATCTCTTTGTACATTTCTCCCTTCAGATTCTGGACACTTTTGCTCATTTTGTTGTGTTGTTTAACTGTGCCTTCTTGGATCTCATTGAGTTTCCTTAAGATTGTTGTTCAGAATTCCTTTTCAGTCATTTCAAGGACTTCCTGCTCTATTATGTCTGGTACTTGAGAATTATTACATTCCTTCTGTATTTTCATCTTTCTTCATATTTCTAGTATCTCTATGTTGGTGTCTAGTCATCTGATAGAACAGTTGCTTTTTCTTGTACTCTGGAGTGGGCTTTGAGGAGAGGTAGTTCCTCTTGTTAGATGTGTTTTATAATGAAGTTGGGTGTTTTAGTATTGGTTTCAGGTACACTCAGTAGTGTTGTCTCCATATGGGTACTTCAGCCAAATTCAGTGTTGCAATTGCATGTCATTGCCTTCATGGCCTATTCCCTCAGGCACTTAAAGTTCCTTGCTGGGGGTGGTGACACTGTGTTGGTTCAGCAGGACATGGGCAAGCTCTGGAATTCTTGAGAGAAGTGCCTTGATGCCCTGTCACTCTTCGGCTATGGTGGGTGACCTTGGATGGGTCTGTTGGCACTCTGGCTAGCTCCCCGTGACCCTGATGGGTACACTAGGATATCCTAGCCTCCTCAGTTTGAATGGGTGACTCTGGCTGAGGTTCCTTCTAGGACCTTGTTTCCCTGCTTTGGGGATGAGTTGGTGATGATTGGGAATTTTCTTCCTTCCTCTATTTGAGTATCCTGGATTTCTGTACTTTCAGGAGTTTCCACATTTGTCTCTCCCTGGATGAAGGCAGTCCCTTGGGCTGCACTCCTACCTCCCACCTCCAGGTATGCTACCACATTTGGCAGCATAATTCCCCCTTTTGGGTTGGACCACTGGGTCACGGGTCTGCGCTCGCTTACCTCTTTCCCTGGACTCTACCGGTCACTCTTCTGTTTGTGCTGAGAAGTGGTCAGTGGGTACCTATGAGGCAGCAGTGGCTGCTGGTATGGCAGTGAGTCACTCTTGCAAGTGGCAGTTGCTGTGGTGGTGGCTGTCACAGACCACTCATTCAGCAGTGGTATCTGCTGCAGTGGCAGAGACTGCTGCTGCCAGGAAGGCAGCTGGTGTACTGGTGACATCAGTTGGGGGCTGGCTGGCAGGGTGGGCTGCTTCCTGGCTACCAGAGAAGCTGGGGGTGGGGTGGGATGCTTCCCAGGGGCTGGAAAGGTGACCGGTCATGCCGGTGCCATCAGTCACCATTTGCAGTAGCATTTGTATCATAGGTGCTCTAAAGTGTTTGTCAGATAATTCCAATACTGATGTCATCTTAATGGTGGTGTCTCTTCTTTCTCTTTTCCCGTGTGAGTTGAGAATTTCCTGGTTCTTAATATTCTGAGTGATTTCAGATTATATCCTGTACATTTTGCAAATTGTTATATAAGACACTTTCATATTTAAATCCTATAGGGATTGTTCATATTATTGTTTTAGCATGCAGTTGACTACTGATTAGTTTCAGGCTACAAATTCTGTCCTGTCTTCTGTGTGCTGTGGTTCTAATGTCAGTTCAGTTTTTAAAGCCTTTACAGTTGGACTTGAGTAATTCTGTTGTGCCGTGCACTTCTGTAGTCTTCCTGTGTCTAGCACTAAGCAGTAATAGGACAGAAAAAGTAAAGGAAGCAATAGGGGTTGGCCCCACCCTATTGGAGCCTACTGGCTCCACCAGTCAGAAGGGAAGGTTTTTCTCCTTCAGATTATTGGCTCCAGTGTGTTCCTGTTCCCAGGCACTGGGATAGAGAGATGAAGGAGAAAAAAACAGTAGAATGTCTGCATCTTCTGTACGTATCAGGAGTTTCCTTTCTTGCTTCCTGAACCAGAACTAAAGGTGTTCTCTTGAGCTCTCTGTGTCTGAGCTCCAGTGTCTAATTCTGGGCTTCTGGTGCACTGAGTCCAGGCTGTGGATCATGGAGGAAGAAAAATGGTAAACTCACTGATGCTTGGTATATTACTTTAAACTCTGCTCTTCCCTAATCCTCCTGCTACTGTTCACTTTTCAGAGTCTTTCCTTAGCTGTTCCATGCATTCTGTCAAGGTTTTATAGCTGTATTCAGTGGGAGTGACTGGGTGGCATGTGTTACTCCATCTTACCTAGAAATGGAACTCTTGATTAGATTTATGGACAGTAGTCAGTCACCTCTTGTCCATGGTTTTGCTTTCTGCTTACCCATAGTCAACTAGAGTCTGAAAATATTAAATGGAAAATTACAGATATAAACAATTCATAAGTATTAAATTGCGTATCATTCTGAGTAGCATGATGAAATCTCATGCTGCCCCATCTGTGTCCCACTCCTGATGTGAATCATCCTTTTGTCCAGCGTATCCATGCTGTATACACTACCTGTCACTTAGCAGCCATCTCATTTATCAGATCAACTGTTATAGTATCACAATGCTTGTGTTTAAGTCACCCTTATTCTACTTAATAATGGCTCCAAAGCACAAGTAGTGATGCTGGTAATTTGAATATACTAAAGAGAAGTTGTAAAGTGCTTCCTATAAATGAAAAGGTGAAAGTACTTGACAATACGGAAAGGAAAAAAAAAAAGCTATGCTGAGGTTGCTAAGGTCTATGGAAAGAACAAAACTGTCTGTGAAATTCTGAACAATATTTTGTTATAATTGTTCTGTTTTATTATTAGTTTTTTGTTATTAATCTCTTACTATACCTATTTTGTAGATTAAACTTTATCATAGATCTGTATGTACAGGAAAAAACATAGTATATGTAGGGTTTAGTACTATTCACGGTTTCAGGCTTCCACCAGGGGTCTGGAACATATCCCTTGTGGGTAAGGGGGGACTTTTGTACTTAATATTTTATTATATGAGTAATATTTGGCACCTAATGCTCATTTTCTTTTTGTTATCAGTGACAGTTTATGAAGTGTATGTGGCAACAGGTGAGCTATGGAATGCTGGAACAGTAGCAAATGTCTACATTTCTGTTTATGGGGAAATGGGAGATACAGGATCCAGACAACTATTTAGATCGAAGAGTTCCTTCAATTTTTTAAGAGGACAAGTAAGTAAGTAAGGAAAAAAGTCCTTTGTCTGATTAAAAAAAGACTTTAAAATTGTGGTTAAAAAAACATGTAAAATAAAATTAACTGTCTTAATTTACCATTTTTAGTGCATTTTAAGTGTATAGTTCTGTAGTGTTAAGTATGTTCACATTGTTGTGCAACAGATCTCTAGTACCTTTTCATCTTTCAAAACTGGAAATCTATAACCATTAAATTATAACTCCCCATCTCCCTCTCCATCCAGTCCCTATTCGTTTCTATGAATTTGACTACTTTTAGATACTTCATACTAGTGAAATTATACAGTAATTGTCTTCTTTGTGACCGTATTTTTTTACTTAGCCTAATGTCCTCAGAGTTTATCCATGTTATAGCATGTGATAGGATTACTTTCCTTTTTAAGACGCAATAATATTCTATTGTGTAAACAGGCATACCTTGAAGACATTGTGGGTTTGGCTCCAGAATACCACAATAAAGCAAATATCACAATATAGTGACTCACACAAATTTTTTGGCTTCCCAGTGCATATAAAAGTTATTTTTACACTATACTGTAGTCTGTTAAGTGTGCAGTAGCATTATGTCTAAAAAAATGTACATACATTAATTAAAAATACTTTATTACTTAAAAATGCTAACGATCATCTGAGTCTTCCATGAGTCATAAGCATTTTGTTGGTGGAGGGTCTTGCCTCGATGTTGATAGCTGCTGACTGCTCAGGGGGGTGGTTGCTGAAGTTTGGGGTGACTGTGATGATTTCTTAAAATAAGACAACGATGAAGTTTGCTACACCTGTTGACTCTTTGACAATAGATTTCTCTGTAGCATGCGATACTGTTTGATAGAACTTCTTAATAGAACTTCTTTCAAAATTGGAGACAATCCTCTCAAACTCTTGCTACTGCTTTGTCACCCAAGTTTATGTAATATTATAAATCCTTTTTGTCATTTCAACAATGTTCACAACATCTTCATCAGGAGATTCCATCTCAGGAAACCACTTCCTTTGCTCATCCATAAGAAGCAACTCCTCATCCATTGAAGTTTCATCATGAAATTGCACCAATTCCATCCCATCTTCAGGCTCCCCTTCTAATTCTAGTTTTCTTGCTATTTCCGTTCTATCTGCAGTTACTTTCTCCACTGAAGTCTTGAACTCCTCAAAGTCATCCATGAGGGTTGATATCAGCTTCCTTCAAGTCATCCATGAGGGTTGATATCAGCTTCCTTCAAATTCCTGTTAATGTTGGTATTTTGGTTTTTTTTTTTTTCTTGTCCTTTTTGAGACCGGCTGCACCGCACTTAGCCAGTGAGCGCTGTGAGCGCACCGGTCATCCCTATACAGGATCCGAACCCATGGCGGGAGCGCTGCCACGCTCCCAGCGCCGCACCCTCCTGAGTGTGCCATGGGCTCGGCCTTAATGTTGGTATTTTGGCCTCCTATAAATCATGAACGTTCTTAACGGTATACAGAATGGTGAATCTTTTCCAGAAAGTTTTCAATTTGCTTTGTTCAGATTCATTAAAGGATTCATTATCTATGGAAGCTATAGCATTATGAAATATATTTCTTAAATAATAAGACTTCTGTGTCAGAATTGCTCCTTGATCCATGGACTGCAGAATGGATGTCGTGTTAGCAAGCATGAAAACATTAATCTCTTTGTACATCTCCACCAGAGTTCTTGGTTGAGTAGGTGCATTGTTAGTGAGCAGTAATATTTTGAAAGGACTCTTTTTTTTTTGAGCAGTAGATCTCAACAGTGGGCTTAAAATATTCAGTAAACCATGCTGTAAAAAGATGTGCTGCAATCTAGGCTTTGTTGTTCTATTTGTACAGCACAGGAAGAGTAGATTTTGCATCACTCTTAAGTGCCTTAGGATTTTCAGAATGGTAAATGAGTGCTGGTTTCAACTTAAAGCCATGAGCTGCGTTAGCCCCTTATAAGAGAGTCAGCTTGTTCTTTGAAGCTTTGAAGCCTTCTCTCTAGCTGTGAAAGTTCTAGATGGCATCTTCTTCCAATGTAAGGCTGTTTCATTTACATTGAAAATCTGTTGTTCAGTGTAGGCACCTTCATCAAAGATCCTAGCAAGATCTTCTAGATCACTTGCTGCAGCTTCTACATCAGCACTTGCTGCTTCACCTTGCACTTTGATGTTATAGAGATGGCTTTTTGCTTTAAACCTCATGAACCAACCTCTACTAGCTTCAAACTTTTCTTTGGCAGTTTCCTCACCTCTGTCAGCCTTCATAGAATTGAGGAGAGTTAGGGCCTTTCTCTGGGTTAGGCTTTTAGCTGGAGTTTATCTCCCACTCTACATAAAGCCAGGAAGAGGATCTGTGGCAAATTCCTGCACTCTTGTTCAGACCATAGAGTTGCTTTGCTCTTTGTTGACATCAGGGCCCAGCTGATGGGACCAGCTTGCAGGCAGATTAGCTGGAGGCTTGGTTCTATCTCTGGAGCAAGCCAAGAGAAAAAGCTGTGTGAAAAAGCCCACGCAGGCACTCAGTGGACTACTGATTTCTTGTTCTGTCAACTCCTAGATGCAAGCCTGACCCATGGACAACAAGTAGGGGGTACATCAGGTGTACAGGCAAACCTTTTTCAGGGAGCAACTGGGAGCTGGGGTTTTTTGTCTGCTTGCTTTGCCTAATTGAGCCATGGGAAATAGCTTCTGAAAGTGCTCTTGCACTTGTTTAAACCCCGCCCCCTCTTTGTTTTCTGTGGTTCTGGGAGACTTGAGAATGCCCAGTCCCATCAGCTCCCAGAGCTTGATGATTTTGGGGCCAGCCCTTCTGGTAGGACCTGTAAAAGATGTGGCACTAGATATGTAGGCATTCTCTTTCCAGGGAAAAGCTGAGGAAATGGGCAGTTGAATCCCTTCCAGGGAGACACTAGAAGTTAGACATTTTTCCTGCTTACTGTGCACAGAGTCCAGGGGAATATCTGCCTGTTTAAAATCACTTCATTGTCTGTGTGGTCCCAGAAGATTTGCAAGTGCTGAGACCTATATACTCCCAGAGGTAGTTGGTTTAGGAGCCAGTACTTTGGGTGGTGCTATATGTGTGGTCCAAACACTTCACTCCTCAGGGAGAAGCTGGGAGTTGGGGATCCCCTCCCGACTGTGCAGCACTATTTCTGGGTGTGGTTTGTGGCATGAGTGTGTCTCAGCTTTTCCTACTTTTTTTTTTTAATTTAATTTAATTTTGTCAATAAACAATGTGGTTGTTATTGTGGCCCATTACCGAAACCTCCCTCCCTCCCCCCTCCCTCCGAACAACCTCATATCTGTTCGCTTGTCCTATTGACTTCAAGGAATTGTAATTGTTGTGTCTTCTTCCCTCCCCCCCTCCCCAGTTTATTTGTGTATTTATTTATTTATTTTTAGCTCCCACAAATAAGTGAGAACATTTGATATTTCTCTGTCTCTGCCTGATTTGTTTCACCTAATATAATTCTCTCTAGGTCCATCCATGTTGTTGCAAATGGCAGTATTTCATTCTTTTTTATAGCTGAGTAGTATTCCATTGTGTAGATATACCACATTTTCCATATCCACTGATCTGATGATGGGCATTTGGGTTGGTTCCAACTCTTACCTATTGTAAAGAGTGCTGCGATGAACATTGGGAAACAGGTATACCTTCGACTTGATGATTTCCATTCCTCTGGGTATATTCCCAGCAGTGGGATAGCTGGGTCATATGGTAGATCTATCTTCAACTGTTTGAGGAACCTCCAAACCATTTTCCATAGGGGTTGCACCATTTTGCAGTCCCACCAACAATGTATGAGAGTTCCTTTTTCTCCGCAACCACGCCAGCATTTATCGTTCAGCGTCTTTTGGATTTTAGCCATCCTAACTGGGGTGAGATGGTATCTCAGTGTGGTTTTGATTTGCATTTCCCGGATGCTGAGTGATGTTGAGCATTTTTTCATATGTCTGTTGGCCATTTGTATATCTTCCTTAGAGAAATGCCTACTTAGCTCTTTTGCCCATTTTTTAATTGGGTTGCTTGTTTTTTTCTTGTAAAGTTGTTTGAGTTCCTTGTATATTCTGGATATTAATCCTTTGTCAGATGTATATTTTGCAAATATTTTCTCCCACTCTGTTGGTTGTCTTTTAACTCTGTTAATTGTTTCTTTTGCTGTGCAGAAGCTCTTTAGTTTGATATAATCCCATTTGTTTATTTTTCCTTTGGTTGCCCATGCTTTTGGGGTCTTATTAATGAAGTCTGTGTCCAGACCTATTTCCTGAAGTGTCTCTCCTATGTTTTCTTTAAGAAGTTTTATTGTTTCAGGGTGTATATTTAATTCTTTAATCCATTTTGAGTTGACTTTAGTGTATGGTGAAAGGTATGGGTCTAGTTTCATTCTCCTGCATATTGATATCCAGTTCTCCCAGCACCATTTGCTAAAGAGGCAGTCTCTTCCCCAGTGTATAGCCTTGGTGCCTTTGTCAAAGATCAGATGGCTGTAGGTGTGTGGGTTGATTTCTGGATTCTCTATTCTATTCCATTGATCAGTGTGTCTGTTTTTATGCCACTATCATGCTGTTTTAGTTATTATAGCTTTGTAGTACAGTTTAAAGTCAGGTAGTGTTATGCCTCCAGCTTTATTTTTTTTGGCTCAGCATTGCTTTGGCTATGTACGGTCTTTTGTTATTCCATATAAATGTCTGGATAGTTTTTTCCATTTCTGAGAAAAATGTCATTGGAATTTTGATGGGTATTGCATTGAATTTGTATATCACTGTGGGTAGTATGGACATTTTCACAATGTTGATTCTTCCAATCTAAGAGCATGGGATATCTTTCCAATGTTTTGTGTCCTCTTTAATTTCTTTAAGCAGTGGTTAGTAGTTCTCATTGTAGAGATTTTTCACATCCTTGGTTAACTCTATTCCTAAATATTTTATTTTTTTGGTGGTGGAGAATAGAAATGCTACTGATTTTTGTGTGTTGATTTTGTATCCTGCAACTTTGCTGTATCT